GGGGTTGCCCTTCGGGGGTATGGAGATGTTCCGGAACCAGACAGGGGTGGTGGCGCACGTATTAAATAGCACTGAATTGTCCGCTTTAAGATGACGGACGGCGATATGTGAACGTCACCTCACTGTCCGGAAGAGAAAGGGGCCGGAGACCGCAGGTCCCAGCCTCCCCCTGCAGCTGGCCGTGCCCGGGAGGTGGCAAAGGGCCCACGGTGGCCTTTAAACGGGCTGGGTGCAGGGAGGCACCAAGACAGCGGGAGGCGGGTGGCCTTCTCGCCTCCTGTCTTGTTTAGGCCACTGTACGTGCTCCGGGGGCTGTCAGCCCTAAGCAGTTCGAGGAGCCTCCAGGTTTCAAGAGGGCAGAGCAACGGCCTCTTGCTCCCTGGGCCCCAGTAACCACACCGCGCAGCGTCCCCGCTTTTGGAAGTGAGAACCCGCGGACACCGGAACCGGGCCGGGGAGAACACCGCAGACGCCAAGGCCAGCGCTGAACGAACGAAGTGGGCAGTGAGAAACTTGGAGGCAGGAGGTGGGAGGAAAGGGATCCCCAAGGAGGATGGGGCGCAGCCTAAGCCAAGGTTGACACCATGCAGGGTGTCAGAGAGGGAAGGGGGGGCAGGACCGCTGGAGGAGGTGCACGTTTGAGAGAGAAAAGGTGGGAGGGAGGGAACGAGGTGGCTCCAGCCTGACCCACCGGTCAGAGCCACCTGCCCGCGCCCATGCCCCGCCCAAAAGTCTCTGGAGGCTCTCAGTGACCCTGCCCCATGACTTATTCTAGAATCTTCTGCCAACATTCAAGAGGCTGCCGAGCTGGCCCCAGCCCTCCTCCCCTTCTTCAGTTCTGTGCTCTGGATCCTGGAGTGAACCTTATGCCCTCTTGGGCATTTAGCAAAAACTCAGTGAATGCCTCTGTATCTGGCTGGGGACAGCAGTGACAGACACAACGCCCTGTCCCCATGGGGCAAAGACAAAACGAACACAATAACAGAGGAAACTATTCTGTTCTACAGAACTGTGGCTAGAGGTCAGGGCTAGAAGATAAAGCAGGGAAGGAGCTAGGAAGTGGGGTGGGGGCAGTGATCTTAGGGTGGTCAAACGGGCCTCACCAAGAGGAGCATTAGGTGAGAAAATCTACAGAGGAGGGGAGGAAGGAGCTGTGTGGGTGTCAGGGAACAGCATTCCCGGCAGGGGGAACAGCCAGTGCCAAGACCCAGAGGAGGCCCGTGGCAGATGATGCCTGATGTATGTCAGGAGCAGGCAGGGCAGCCGGAGCCGAGTGAGCGAGGGGGAGCATGGAGAGGGTGAGGGCCGGGAGAGGGGCACAAGGCACAGAGCGCAGGGCCTTGTGGGCCTCGGGGAAGACAGGCTTTCGCTCTGAGTGAGGTGGGTGCTCACAGGTACCCTCTGGCTGCTGCGGGGCGGGGGAAACAGATGGCAGCGGGTGAGACAGGGCAACCCCAGGGGGAGCTGTGGCCACGGAAGCAGTGGTCAAGTGTGGGCGTGGTTTGAAGCAGGAGCCGACCAGCTCTAACTGGACTTCTGCAGCAGGTGTGAGAAAGGCTTTGGCAGACCTGTCACACTCACACACAGCCTTGCACACTCAAGCACTCGCTTTCTCTTACACTCACGTGTGCTTCTGTCATCTGTGTTCAGGCTTCACCTCCTTGGGGAAGCCTGAGTGACCTCTGGGCTCTCCCTCGGAGCCTGTGACACCTTCACCCTGTCCTGCTCTTGTGTTTACACTGCAAGACTGCCCCTTCCCCCCCGACTAGTCTCGGGATGGGCTTCTGGAGGCTGGTGGGGAAGACGGGCCGGGTCTTACCGGCTGTTTGCACGGGACCTGGCACCTAGTAGGTGCTCAGGAAACCCGTGCGGAACGCACGGAAGGAGGACTGAAGGCGTGGACAGGGTGCCCTGACCAGGGGGGTGTTTATCCAGGGACCCCAGGGACTGTCCCCACCCCTCCTCCCAGGAGCCTGGTGGGGCCGGGGCCTCTCACCTCTGTGACATGATCTTGAAGGCATCAGGCAGGTAGCACTGCACGTTCTCCATCTGGAAAGGGTCGGCGTCACAGATCTTGTCGTCTGTGCGCCCATAGTTGGCGTTCTCCACCATGATGACGTCGCTGCCTGGGCACCGCAGCTCGATGGGATAGCCTTCGCACGCCAGCTCCCGGCGCATCAGCCCGAACGGGAGCCCAGCCCGGCTCAGGCCTACGGGGAGGGAAGACCCTGCTGAGGAGGTCCCACCTCCAGCTTGGGCTGCATCCAGGAACCTCAGTTCTTTCATCTGCAAAACGGGCTTCCCAACGTGCCCAGCTGCGTAGTGAGGCCTCTGCCCTCGGCTCCTGGGGAAGTGCCTCCAAGCACCCGGAGCGTCCCGCCCGATGAGTGTCTTTGTTGACCCGGGGGCCTCGGGCCAGGTCAGACAGTCTGCACTGTTTTGGGCTGAGTTGTGTCCTCCCGTCCTCCTCCCTCGTACCTCAGGATGTGACCAAATTTGAAACAGGCCATCAAGTTAAGATGAGCCGAGCCTGTTAAGGTAGGCCCTGCCCCAGTATGACCACTGTCTTTATCAAGAGGGGAAATGTGGACACAGAGACAGAGGGAAGACAGCCAGCCACGAGCCCAGGAAAGAGCGGGAACAGCTCCTTCCCTCATGGCCCTTGGAAGGAGCCAGCCCCCCTGACAACTTGATCTTGAACTTAAAGCCTCTAGAAACCGCAAGACAATAAACTTCTGCTGTTTCAAGCCACCAAGTCTGCGGTACGTTGTTACAGCAGGCCTAGCAAAAGAGCACAGTAAGGACGTGATCTAGGGTGGGAGTTTTGGGGTGTCAGTGGACCTCTGGAAGGGCGGGAGACTGAGGCCAGTGCTGCGGGGGGTCCCCTGCATCTACATGACTGAGCCCCAGTGAAGGCTCTGGACAGCGGGGCCCGGGGAGCGTCCCATGTTGGCAGGGCACCATGCGTGTTGTCGCACAGCACGTGTGACCACTCCGTGGGGAGGGGGCGAACCGCGAGCCCTGGGCACGGAAACTTCCCGGACGCTGCCCCACACACCGCTTCCCTTGGCGGATTTCCTCTGCATCCGTCGGCTGTAAGAAGCTGTCACCGTGAGCACGACAGCATTCTGGAATACGCTTCTAGTGAATCATCATGTCTGAGGGTGGTCTAAGGAACTCCCGAACTTGCAGTTGGAGTCGGAAGTGAGGGAGGTCTTGGGCGCTCCCCTAACCTCGCACCGCCCCACGCAAACAGGAGAGATGGCGTGGGAGGAAGTGCTCTCCTGTCGGGGAGGACACCGCAGAGCCTGGCTCTGCCACTTCTCGGCTGATGGGCCAGAGCCTCTCACGGCATGGCCTGGGGGTCGGTGGCACCGACGTCCCGTGGTGGCTGCTTAAGAAGGCAGATTCTGCCCCCCCACCCCCAGGCCTGCTGTATCAGGATGTCGGGGGTGATGCCAGGAGCCTCGGACCTGTGTGCCCACCAATGGTTCCAACACGTGCTCAGTTCGGACAGCCACAGCTTTAGCCTCCTCGGGCCTCAGGTTCCGACCTGTGAGATCGGCACTGACAGCCCAGGAATGTACTTCGAGGACTCGGTGCGCTAGAGAATGTTCCTGAAGGAAGCACTGAGCGCGGTGCCCTGTGTGGGGAGGGTCAGCTCCCCGTGGGGTCGCACTGTCACACGTCCTTGCCCATCCTGTGCCGTGTGAGGACCCAGGGGGTTTAGATCCCCGGCTGACGACCTGGCCCAGTAACAGACCACCTCCGTGGCCCCAGATCCTTCTCCGAGGAGCCGCCGCTCCCGCCTCAAGGCACCGCTGAGGGGCTGCGACAAGGGCAAGCGGTATGTGGCGAGGCGGCGGGTGCGGAGTCCCACCACCGGTGGGATTACCGAAGCAGCCAGACTCTGCGGGACAGAGCGGGCTCCGCGTGGCCGACGCCTGCCGGGGCAGCCACCTACTCAGACGCCGGGCTCCGCCAGGCCTCGCCAGGGGCTGGAGGGAGGCGTGGATGCACGGAGTGACCCACGGGCCCGATGTGGGGACTGTGGCTCGTGGGTCAGGAGAAAACCGGTGCACGAGGGCGGCAGTGCCTTTCAGAGACCTGTCCTTCCAGCATCGGGTGGGAGGCCCGAGGGGGATGGCAGCTAGGCCCCCGGGGTTTTTTGGGGTGAGTTGAGTCTCACTCGGGGGAAAGTATTACATGTGTTCCTCTAGCACCATCTGCTTTCACAGCTAATTTTAGTCCTTCCCGGGCCCGGGAGGGAGGCCGGGGGTGGAGGCTGGCTCAGATGGGTCTGGGGGTGGGAGCGGCCCCTCCCGGCCCAGCTGGGGCTGTGGGGCAGGACCCGGACGGGCAGAGAACGTGGGAGCAGAGGTCAGGGGAGCAGAGGGTGCCAGCTGGCCGGAGCGGTGCCAAGGCCCTGGGGCCTGGCTGAGTAAGGCCCCCTCCACCTTTGTGGCTTTCTGGAGTATTGGGCTCCAGGAGGGGACCCTGGGGCACAAAGTGTGCCAACAGTGCTCTCCAGACAGCGCTGAGGGGGTGCCGGCTGGAGGCAGGCCCCCGGGCTAGGGACAAGGCCAGCGGGCCCCTGCTTTCTGCCTCTCCCCTTGCCCTGCCCTTGCCCCCGCCTAGGCCTGCCACGGGGACCATAATTGAGTAATTGGTGAAGATGGGCGGGCGGGCTCGGGGCACTAATTGTCGCATGTGCAGGATCCTGGGGCCGGCATAGGGCCGAGCCGGGTAATTAGTTGTTTTTAAATAAACGTCAGCGGGCATGCTTTAATTAAGCCTTCTTCCCAGTGAGGGCCTCCGAGATGTAATCACAGAGAAAGCCACACACGCAAGACAGAGGAGTAGCGGCTCACCAGGAAGGCCCGTCCCGGTCCCAGGAGGCCACAGCCCGCGTCCCAGGTTCTAGGACCTCCGGCTTCCCCGGGCTTTGGGGGTGAGGGGCTGGTCCAGGGAGCCCTCCGTGGTGCCAGGGGGGTGCAATTACCAAGTCCTCCTCCGGCTTCGTTCCGCCAAGGTCTGGAGCGAGGTGGGGACTGCGGTGCTTTACCAAGTGGCTGGGAGGTCCTGCACCTTGTCATCTGCCCGCCCAGCTGCATTCCGGAGGCTGGCCCCTCCCCAGCCCCAGCGGCACCTACCTTGGGTGGCCGAGGTGACCAGGACGGCGGTGATGCAGAGACTCCACAGCACAGCGGCCAGGCGGGCCATGGCGGCGGCCAGGGGCGGGTCCGGGGCTCTCAGTGTCCTGTGCGGGGGGCCTTGCCCCGCATCAGCAGGTGGGCACCACGGCCTGGCCCACCAGCCTGGGGAGAAGAGGGAGAGTGAGGCGGGAGCGAGGCCCCAGCAGACGCAGGAGGAGGTGCGTTTGGGCTGGTCCCCTCTCCTTGCCGGTGGCCGAGGCCTTCCACCCCAGAGTCCCCAGACGGGCCGGTCAAGGGACCTCTCTCGAGCCAGCTGTGTCTGACTGAAGCCGCACCCTTGGGCCAGAGGCTGACCGGCCCCCCGGAACCTCTGGCTTACACTGCTAACTCCACTGCCCACCCTCACCCCCACCCCCGGCAGCCAGACCCGCCCATCTGGGCACCTTGAACCAAAGGGAACCTCCTGGACGAACCTCCCGTGGTCTGACAGTGCCCCTCAGGTAGCAAGGGCGGCTCACTGGGATGTCACGGGGGATAAAGACCTTCTGGAAGCTTCTTCTCCATCCCCAACCCCCAACCCTGCCCTCTTGTCTCCCCCACCTAGCTTCCCCACCCGGCACAGCATGGGGGCAGGGGCCGGGTACCCAGGCATCCTGGCCTTGACTTGCTTCACTAGCCTCCCAGTCTTGGGCAGGAGTCCAGGCCCCGCCCCCAGCCCTTGCTTCCTGTCTCTCCCGCTCTGGTAGCTAATTAGAATCCATCCAGCTGGCTGGCGCCACAGATCGGGACCAGGGACAACCGAGTCCCCTTTTTCCCCTCTGGGGGACCCTCGAGGTTAGTTGGAGACAGGCGGTGGGGTGGGAGGGGGGAGGTAGGGAGGGGTGTGCAGCCCCCTGGGGAGCCAGGGAGGGGGGAGCTGGCATCGTGTGCCCTTCCCTGCAATCCTCCCACCCATCTGCCCGTCCCTGGGCACAGGGCTTGGTTCTGACCCACTCCTTCCCCTCTCGGCTGCTCCTCCCTCTTGCCACCTCGGTCTCCCCTGGATGCTCTCAGAGCTACAAACCCAGATCTCTACTCTTGGCCCTTTGCTCTATCTACACCATGGTTCTCAAGGGCGGCCCTGGCCCAGGGGCGCCAGCCTGGCCAGGAACTTCTAGAAACACTCATTCTCGGGGGAGGGCCAGCACCCCATGTTTTAACTGGTTCTCCAGTGTGTGAACACCCACTCAGTCTTCTCCCACACTGTCATCCCCAATCTGTCCCACACTTTCAATGCCATCGACCAACTGATACCTACCACGGCTCTCATTTTCGGTTTGGAATCTCTCAACAGAGCCCCAACTACTGTCTCTCCCCCCACCAAGTGAAAGCCTATCCACCAGCCCAGTTAGCTCCCTGACCCCATTTCTGCTCAGGCCACTCCCGCCTCCAGCTCTTCCCTGAGCACACCACGCCCTGCCCCAGGGCCTTTGCGCTTGTCAGTTCCTCCACATGTATCTTAGACTGCCCACCAGTTACCCACAAGGCTGCTCCCTCTCACCTCCTTTAGGCTTTTGTTCAAATGTAACTATTTACTTCCTGTATGGTAGAGCTCCTGCACAGACACGGGACACTGGGTTGTTTTGCTCAGCCCTAGCCCCTGCTTCTGGAACAGGCCTGGCACACAGCGATGAGCATTTGTTGCATCTCAGACCCCAAACTTCGGAATCCACCTCGATTCCTCACCCCTCCCCAGCCGTCCCCTTCATAAGCTCCATCGGCAAGTCCCTAGAACTCTGCCTCCAAAGCACCTCACCAACCTGCCCACTTGTGGCCCCCGGTGCCACCGTCCGGGACCAAGCCGCCATCCGCCTCCACGCCTGCCCTCCACTCAGGGCTAAGGGATCCCTGAATGACGTGATCTGCCTATCAACCCTCCCCTCCGCTCTCCACTGGGGCTGGCGTTCCTCAGCAGGGCCTAGAGGCCACTGTCGATCTGGCGTCACCCTGCTCTGCAACCCGCCCCCTCCAGTTCCTAGAATGCTCTGGCTCCCGCCCCCCACTCTCTGCCTGGAATGCTCTCCCCGGTTCCCCATACACCTGCTATGGCTTTTCTCGGCTCAGAGCTCAACTCCGAGGCCACGCGGGCAGAACAACCCACCCCGACCTCCCCAAGCGTTCCTGGTGCTCCCACTTGCCATCCTTCTGCCCTGTTTTTGACCTACAGCTTTCGACCACACCCGAATTACCTTTTTACGCTGGCAGGTCTGCTGTCAACCTTCCCTACTAGACCAGAAGCTCCTTGAGGGCACAGGTTCTCGAGAATTATAAAGGTCAGGGCGGCGCGCTCACGGGCAGGACGGCCCCTTCTGGGCCTCAGACTCCTCTCGCGAAATGGGCAGTAATTTCACAGCACAGCCCTCCATACCTGCGCCCTCCCTATCCCCAGCCTTCAGGAAGTCTCCCCTCTACTGCCTCACCCCACAACCCCGACCGGACAGGGCCTGCACTTTGGGTTCATTTCACAGGATTTTATTTTATTAAAAAAAGTTTTTTTTTAATCTTTATTTTTGAGAGAGAGAGAGAGAGAGAGA